TTCTCCTATGCTCGTCTAGCCAATAATAACGTCACAAACCCCCTCCGCTGTATTTATTCATATTTTATGTCTGTCAAATCTGCCAGTGACGTCAAGGCTCCCATCTCCCCTTGTGGCATGTGCCGCCAATTTATCCGCGAGTTTTGTGAAGCCGATATGCCTATTCTCCTCGTGCCTGCCGATTACCCACAGCCTCCGAAAGAAGGTAAGGTAGACGATGGGAGTGGCGGGGTTGTAGAGACAAGTATTGGGGAACTTCTGCCACGTAGCTTTGGGCCAGAAGATTTAGAGCTACCAAGAAAATAAAGCGACCATCGAAGATAAAATTATGTTTCTATTGATACAGGAGACGTCAATTGTGTACTAGCAGATGAGTGGCCAGGGTTTTTGGCTGCACAGGTTATTTATGAAACCAAGATATCCAGTGATTGTGGTCTCGCGATTGAATGGACGTTATGACCTACATAAAGCCCGTTTATGTTGGAATATTCCGTGGCTCCTGGAAATCGTTGCTGTATTATCATATTCCGCCTTCTCAAGAGTCAAGTCCATATAGTGTTTACGACAATCCTACAAGCACTAGATCTGTATAACGACATATAAGTTATTAACACGCACATCCTCAACCCGACTGAATGATGTTGATTCAAAAGCGACTAGAGTGGGGTAGCACCTTGGACAGATCTACGTCTTGACCTGCAATTTCTCGGTATTCCTTCCTGCAGTTTAACCTGTCACAAGGTCAGTAGATACTCGTGTGACCCCGCAACGCGATGATACACACGCTGCCAAAAGACAATTAACGTATACTAACCGCGCGTCAGCAGTGTAATGACAAGCAACAAAAGTGGGACCACTTACATTTACAAAGAATCGGCTGCGATGGTAATGCCAAAAATGAATGAATGGTAGTTTCGTACTGGTAAAGGGGAAATTTTAAAGTCGTGGTAAAGGGCTAGCCAATTACATACGAGGACTAATGTGATAATGGTGACGAGGCTACGCCAATGCTCAGTGGTTGACCATACAGTTGAGTGTTTCAACGGACTCACCCAATCAACACAATCTGATTGACAGAGAACCAGATCAATTTATGAAGAATAGCCTGGGTTCTGGTGGCTATTGAGAACATACCAACAGAGATCTAACAGTACAAACATACTTCTTCGATGATCCACGTCGGTGGGTATGAAAGTGATATATCAGGCAGCATGATATCAAAAAGTCGCACAGTAAACTACTGATGAGATGAACCTTGACACACTTGTCGAATGAATCAATTAAGAGGTTGGGCACAGGTGGCTGGGGCTCATGTGCTTACCACGGACGAGCGTTGTTGAAAATGGCTTGGTGACCGCAAGACAATACTGTCGTAGCATTAGCAGACAAGCAGAGGGCACAGAAGAGATATAGCTGACGAAGAAGCTGTGAAGGCTGATAAATTATAATTTCAGTCGATCTGTGAAGCGGCATGGAACGGATAGCCTACCGATTCCTCCCCCTAGAACCAATAATGAATATGTCAACGCAGATATAAACGAAAAGTTAACAAACCTAGTTGACCTAGAGCACCAGCGGCCTGAAGTCCTTATTATCAAAGGGCTGCAGAAGAACTGTGGGAGAAACACTTACGATGGCGCCTGTGATTATACGAAATCTTGTAGTAACTACATCGGCATGCCAATCATCAGCAAATATACGGATATATGAGCGGGGATCTTACGTCGCCATATTCGCAGGCAAAAAAGCTAAGAAAAGATTGAGATCATCGAATCCGTGCATCGAACATACCCACACACCTTTGCACGACGGAAATAACGCTAAAGGAAATGATATAGGAAACCTGGTGAATTCTTAACATGAAGCCGTCAGATAGTAAACTGAATGCTACCCACCATGAATTCCCTATCAGTGAAGTATTGTATCAGGCGGTGATCACATAGCAAGTTAATAACTAAACGGACCAAGGTATTGGAATCAATGTGGTGGGTTCAAAAATACGTCCTAGTGAGTGTATTAAATATAGATGCAATGGTATCAAGGCATGCCCAGAAGACGATGCTTACCGATCACGGTAGTAGACCAGACTATGCTGCAGACCAAGTACGTGTGGAATGTATCGATCACACTACCAAGACTTGTCAGAGAGGATTGGCCTACGTATAAAACAAGAAACCCACGTAAGAAAAAATACCTGAGTAACATGTTAACGGGCCTCTGCATCAATTGTAAGTGGAAATGACACTGACCAAATATTTCGATCCTTTCGCATCATCGGGAAACCTACGATAATAAAGGAATGTTTGCGCCAGGGTGACCCCATAGATGCTTGGAAAAACAGAGTAAGCTAGTTGCGACGACCATAGCCTAAGCATTCATAGCATATGTGTTCTTACCCCAATCCAAAGACTAGACCAATCAGTCCTTGACCTAGTTGTTCCGGGGGTACTTGGTTGCTCGGGAACATTGCGACCAAAAAAAGAGTGACAACTAGTTAAGCCTGATTGTCACAGTCTGTTGCAATGGCCGCATAGGTTCATGCGGTAGACGTTGTTTGATCAGGGTTTATGAACGCGGTCTAAGTCGGAGATGCTATTTAAGTGCGAACTCGCGGTATTCGTGGCCTGTGGCATCGTCCGTCCGGCCGGGCGTTCCCATCATCATGCCAGGCGGCCCTAGCATTACCAAACCGGAAACGCATTCAGTATTATATTGATACTGTCCAACGTAATGAATCTGATAACGTACCAAACCATCAAAGGTGCAGAGGGTGTGGGTGCGAAAAGCTAGTACAGACACATGTATTTTGAATAGACTGATGGTCACTCTGGTTAGAATGGCAGTTCATCAACCAAGGGTAGTTTTTATTTGCTCACAGTACCGCGACCAACAAGGTTAGGTTGTACCGATCATATGCACGAATGGAGGGAAACGAGGCTGGTTCGATATATCTGTTGGTTGTTAAATTTTGATGACGCTCACGATGAACCAAAGCAGGCTGGGTCTAGAATGCTCTTTTCGCAAGCAAGATGGCACAGATCGAAAATCACTGCAACTACCTGTACTTACATTGCTTTCAGCACGTAAACTTAACGCCTGAGAAGGCGTTGACAAATGAAAGGTATGCTGCGGACCTGAAGATAAGTGGCGTGCCCTAACTCTTAGCCTCGCTGGACGATCTCCCAACCATGGTATGTTCTCCACAATACATCCTGCACAAACCGACTAAAGGTACTCCCTTCAGTCCCCACGACATCTCTCGCCTTTCCAACCACCATCGCATCCAAAATAGGAATCAAGAAGTCACGCATATGTACGCCATCGTACCCATTCTTCAACATGCTGAGAGTCGCCATGTATGTTGGAAAGTCGGACAGAAAGAAAGTGCAAGGAAATGTTCGTAGGAATGTGATGATTGCAGGATCATTCAGCGGGTCTTTAGCGTCTGTTGATATAAATAATGGGGTGTTAAGCGGCTTGAGATGACGAGACGCGTGCTTTGCGCCACGACATGGCAAATGCGGCATGAAAATCTTCGGAAGACGTGCTGGAGGCGGATGCGGTACTCGACGAGCAGCGACGTCGATAGATAGACTGGGAGGTTGCAACTTAATGTTCAGAGAACGAGGAAGTCGGATGTTGTACTCCAGCTTCAAGGTATCATCCGACCCATATCCCAATATTTCATGCACAAGCCGCCACCATTCGAGCCTTGCGTTGGTTTGACCTTCAGCTTTGAAATGACCATCCCCAACCCGAACGTGGGCGCCAAGATAAATTCCTCCTAGGGCGTCCCGGATAGAATCAGCCGTGTCCAGAAGCAGAGGATTGGAAAATGTCATGCTCTTGCGGACGTCTCTGCGAATGCGCAGACTTTCCGGCATCTTTAAGCGTAGTCGGGACGAGCCGAAGAGCGTGCCAAGTTGGATGAGACGTTCTGGGGAATTCAAGAGCGACGGGATGTAGATTGTTTCGGTATATTTGTCTTTGGAGGGAGAAACGTCCATGATATTGTCGAGGAAACGGTAATCGTACGGATTGGCATCTCGGAGAGTTAAGGTATCGTTTTTAGGAATTCGAAGATGTTCGTATGTCCACTGCTCCGTGAAATTCCAGACCTGGAGTAGCCGCTGATTAGCCTTGACTTCAGTAAGGTCGACAAGCCATTCCCATGGAATGTGAGTATAGTCGAGATAATCGAGACATTCTTCCGGCAGGGGGAGATGTAAAGGAACATTCGAACAGTGATGCAAGCCTTCCTTTCCAGAGAGTACGAGATACTGACGCAGTGCGTCAAATTTGACATAGCGCAGAGGTTTTTCTCCGAGACGGATAGGAGGCACAAGCAAAGTGCGATTAAGTAGACGAGATAGCACGAGAGCATTTTCGAAAGCAATACGTTGATTATGAAAGCCACTGTGAGGTAGATATGCCAGGAAACGATCCTGCGGGCCCGGAGCAAACGCGCGCAACTCATCGTCAAGGTCATACGGAACGACTTGAACTGCTTCGTCAGAATGCCAAGTAAGCATGGGATTATGCACTGGTGGATCCCACCTCGTCGTGAACAGATAGTAGGCCGTTCCAAAGCAGGTGGCAGTGGCTGACACGAGCATGAAGACGAGCACGGCGTAGTACTTTTCTCGAGTGCTGAAGAGCTCGGGGTTTCGGGCGACCATGAAAGACCCTCGGCGGCGACTGGCGGGCACGCGGCTGCGAGACGCTCGCATTCGGTAGGCGCCTTTTTCGAGGGCGACTGAGGGCGACGCGTGGTCGTAACGCGAGGTGGACATGTCTTGCCGTGGCACAGACGTTACTTGATAGCCGATAAGAAAGGTTTCGCAAGGACTGGGAGCAGCTTGTGTTGCACTGTCGATTTGTTGCAGCGAGACGAGATGAAGGCAAGATTCAAGAAAGGTGGAGATTCGGATGAAACAAACCAAACAAGGTGAACTGATAATTTGAATACAGTTATGTAATATGTCCTATCGGATCACCAAGGCCGACTAGCTCAGCTGGTTAGAGCGTCGTGCTAATATTACAGCCACGGTAAAAAGTTTAGCTCCATAATGGATTATGCCCTTTGCCGCGCTGGTATTACGCGAAGGTCTTGGGTTCGATCCCCACGTTGGCCATTCATTTTTTATGCATTTCACTTTTATGTTTGCCGCTATTATTACCCTTCTACAGGCCCATATTACCTGGGAACGAGGGTGACAAGATTGTCTGTATCTCTATGTTTTTATTTGGCGATCAAGGATTATGAGCTACTATATTACGACGAATGCTGACAGCTGGCAAGGTGAGATGTAGCCATCAACTTAAACAATGCAGGCGAAGGCCGAGAATATTTTTCACCACTGTGGGTCCTTCTCGGGTGCCCTATCAAAACAGACACTCAACTCAAAATCGCCTGTGCGCTTTGCCCATCGGTACATCTTCAGCCCTTTCCACCCCGTCGTCTGAATCGCCGAGGCAGCATCACGAAACGCGTTTGCATCATCATCGGCCATTAGATACACTTGGAAGCTCTTCTGCCGATCATAAATGAAGACGTTTTGGGGGATGCCACTGCCCGTGTTGACCGCAACCTGTAGTTTGACTATAAAGACCTTGTCACCGTGGATGTTTGGCGGCGGGTCTGCGTCATCTGGGCTTCCCGTTATAGTCTTTGCATCCATGCGTTCAGGTGAGTCAAAACGATTCATGATGAATTGATACATCCCGGGCATTGATGTTAGCCGGAAGGGGAACGATCGCCAGTGACCGCCTTTGAGTGAACGACATGAGGCTTTGTGTTGTTTCCAGTCCCCTCGTTGACATTCTGGAATCGAAAAATCAGATCAAGTCGGAATATTTGACACGTCAAAGCCTCACCCTGAGAACAATATGATATCGACTGACAGTCCGCACAACGCCGCAGAGCTTTATGGGTATCACCGCAAACTGCGCATCCAGAGGTGTTTGTTAATTTGCCGAGGTCTTGCATACTAATCGGACCAAGTGGTAATAGGAACGATAGACGGAAAGAATCCTCATTCTTTCGTCGTTCTGGATTGTGATCGGACGAAAGGCGCTTTGAGTTTAAGAGGAGAAGTTTGGCTAGCATGTCGCGCTCGAGAGGGGTAGTCGACATATTTCCAGCAGCGATTTGGGCCGTAAATATTGAGCCGACTACTTTTCGCAAAGTGCTGTCAGACGACTTCTTTATTTTCTTGTAAATAACGACGAAGACAGGACATTCGTCCTTCACGACATAAGTTTCGATGATCTAAACAGCAGTGTATGACAGCGGGTGATATAGGACATCAGCCGGCATAATCATGCAGACAGGCGTCACGACGTACTCGTATAATTATACCCGACTCCTGGGCCTCATCTTGAAGAACAAAGATCGAAATCCCGTCTTCCCAATGCTTGGCAAACTGAAGCATACATTGCCTCACTTCCATGAACGTATCCTCCGCCTTTGGGTGCTTCACCAACGATTGACCACTGGCCATCTGCTGACTGGCAGCGTTCCGCATAGCCTCGATTAGGTTGCCTCGTTGAACAGCCTGGATTAGGCTTTCTGAGTGTGTGGAGGATGACCAGGTGTTGAGACCGGTAGGGTTGAAAGGTACAGATGTGATGATTTCGGTGAAGGTCTGGGAGGCATCGAGTGCTTGGTTGAGCCGCTTTTCAAGGGCGTCATTTGGCATCTTTGTCCCTTTTGGAAGAACTACGCCGATGGCAGCTAGCTGGTTGAGCAAGTCTTGTCGAAGTGGATCCATGATTTCGACCCAAGAGCCAGTGGGGGCCAGCAGAGGAAAGGGTATAATATACTTATGTAGTCACTAATTCGTTTGGCGAAGTTCGGGACAGGAATCCGCACGAATTTCTGCCAGATTGTGCTACTAGCAGCAAATGGAAGTGTGGATGTTGTACATATTGATGTCAGGCCTACTTCGCCGGTGTCAGTTTCAACTTTCTAGTGATGCACTTCCGCATTTTCTTTGTGGCATTCATTTCAGTGAAATCATCAGAGCCTTCTTTGGTGTTCTATGCACGGCGGCTACCACAGCCCAGCAAAAAAATCACTTATTCGCCTTAATTATGTCTGCCTCTTGGATGCCCTCGCTCATAGCGATCAAAGATACAAATATTTCAAGATGCGTCTATGGATAGAGCAATTTAATCATAGTCAAAGATACAAAATGTTTTGACAGGCAATCCTTTCGTTTTCACAGTAACATAGCGACCCACGCATGGCGGATGCTATTCATGAACTTGTCCACAAGGGTACCTGGGATGACTAAATCGTGTGCGATACCATTAGTAACGAATGGTGGTGGGACAGTTTCAAAGATATAATTAAGAGGGATGCTATAGTCCTGGTTATTTTCATACATCCAGATTTCCGAGTAGACAAAGGTGCCATCGGGATGAGTTAGCGTCCTTGCCCAGTGCTCTACAGTCACTGTGGGCAGCGTTCCCGTTTGATTTGACTTTTTAATATCAATAAGGATAACGAGTAGAACCTGGATCAGATTCAAATTAAGCAAATATATCTAGGCCGCTTGCTTGAAAAATCTCACCGGGGGGGTCCTTGCAAGCCACCGCCTCGCATCGAGACGCAGGTCACTCAAGCTTTCCGAATATCCAACTTCCAACACTAACGTTGGATCTTCGTATAGACGGGTCATCGGAAATATGTTCATGTCCGCCTCCTTTGAGCCGTTCGGCAAGCTAAAGGCTGCGTGATATATATATAAGATGAACAATAACCAGAATATGGGCCAAATGACATACTAGCGCTACCACGTAACTCATATTGCTCATTAGGTTGGTTAAAGGGAAGCAAGTCCAGACGTCCCGTGAGCATGCGTCCAAATGAAGCAACAGCCGCGTCGTGCACTTTGGATGGTAGAAAGTGAAATATCATTGCGCACGTCGAACTGTCGTATGACACCCTTTCGGGGGAAGGTATCAGATGAGAAAAATTGAAGCAAACCAGCTACATACTTTGTCTGAAAACCAATTTTGTCTTTCTCAAGCGCAGCACGGACACGCTCGGCATCTGCAGGCTTAACGTTGATAACACATACAGGTGATTCAAGGGGGTCTGCGAGGCAGCTGTGTCGTTTGACCTAGTCACCTGAACCCACAAATTAATACTGTGGCTAGACTTACCGTTCACGCTGTGTTTGAATCATCGTTCGGGCATCATGAATTAGGTCGCTGACAGTTTTATCTACCGATTTCGAGGTGAGAGTTGAAGTAGCGCTATTAGGATTGCTGCTGGTGGTTGCAGACATAGCGTGAGTCGTAGCTGGGCGCCATTTCGCGATGGAGGGGTGTGAATCCTCTAGTTCGATTTAGGGGTTAATAATGGTTAGGAGTATCTGGTTCCCACGGTATGATTGGCCAAGCGATCGCCGAAAATGGCAACCCGATATTACAAGGACCAAGCTAAGGAATCTCGACACGCTTCGCCACTGCTAAGTACCGCAATAGGACACTTCTTGTCTTCTTATCTGGCACTCCTGATTTCTGCCAGATTGTGATACAAGTACTACTAGCAGCGTAGTCTACAAAATGCAAGTGTGGATGTTGTACAAATCATGTACAGACCTATCAAACTTGGGCGCTCAAAGTTTACCCCAGACCTCTCGATAATTTGATAGTCATACAACACTTTATTCTTAGTAGCACAACATTAACATTGTATCAAGATCCTTTAACAGTCATGCACAGGAACTTAGCTGAGGCTGAGGGCCTCGACGGCTTTACGTGTATTAGCCTTGATTCCTTCAACTTGCAGCTCTAGACTCCTGATTTTCTCACGGGCTTCGCGGAGCTCAGCAGAAAGGCGGGCATTTTCGTCTCTGAGTGCAGATGACTGTCGATGAAACATTAAGGGATTCAGGAATTATTTCACGATAGACAACCATGGACACTTACACCATCGCCGGACCCGCCACGATTTGGAGTGTGCGTCAGTGGAGGCGAAGCAGCTGCCGCAGGGGTAGGCGCCGGTGGAGATGTCGTCGAAGGTGAAAACGAAGAAAAAGGTGTCGTCTCTGACCTGACCGTCGTAAATGGAGGAGCTGAACTGGTGGGAGTGGGTAAACTGGATGTCTTCACCATGGCGGGTGGAGCGACGGGAGGCGCGGGAGCAGGGTGTGAAGGTGGTGCAGACAATGTAGATGGCGTGGCAGCCAAGATGGCACCATTCTCAAGGCTGATTAGGTTGGGCGTGGCGGACTTGCCGGAGAAGTATTCACCGGCTGAGAGGGAGGGCTCAGCGGCTGGCGCGGGAGGGAAAATGTCGGATTGGAAGCTATCAGCCTGGATATTAAGGGTTAATGTTCGCCTGGTTATGAATGTCAGAGAACCAAGATAATTACTTTTCGAGGTACGATGAAGCCGATAGCCTCGATTCCCGATCCGACGACTTTGTAAGCACGAGCGATCTCGCAGTCTGAAACGCTCAGCGCACGACGAGGAAGGAAGCACATGCCACGCTGTGGGTCAGAGGATTTGTGCTCAGACAGTGGATAGAGGGAATCATTTTCGTATTCGTAATAACGGATATTTCCATCACTGCATATGAAAGATATCAGTCTCTATGATGGCCAATGTTGAAGAGATGAAACGAACCCCTTGCCAGCTGGTGGAAAAACTCGTCAGTCAGATCGAAAAATAAAATAAAACAAATAACGCACCAAGGAACAGAATATTGTTATCGGACCAGAACGGCATGACCACACCCGCTGACTGATCAAGGGTGATCGTCTTGATGTTACTCAATCCTCCTGCCTCCCATATGCCAACCTGTCGATCGCTCATCTTACTGAAGCCAGTTGTAGCAAACTTATCGGAATCACCCATCCAAGTAACCCTTGCCCCCTTGATTCCCCCATGTCCATCGGTGGTCCGCACAGCCTCTCCTCCCGCACGCGGATCGAATAGCCTAATCTTCCGATCCCTGCACGTCGTAGCCAGCAACGTGCCATTCGTGTTGAACGCCATACATTGGATGGCATCGTTGTGTCCACTCAAGACGGACTTAGGAGCATCGGTATTTGCCAGATCCCATAGTTTGACAGTATATTCCCCTGACGCGCTGGCAAGGACATTGGATGCAGTAGGA